AGTCCGCCTTACGTAGATAGAATATTGGGGGTTATATTGGGGTTTTAAAGGGATAACGGAAAAGAAAATGGAAACTACTATTTAGGGTTTAGGGTTTAGAGTTTAGGGTTTAGGGGTTATAGTCCCCCTCAAGTAGATAGAGTATGGGGGCTATATTGGGATAATGGAAAAGACAATGGAAACTGCTATTTGGGGTTTGGGTTTAGGGTATGGTCCACCTTAAGTAGATAGAATATGGCTTTGGGTATATGATAATAAGATCCCCACATACCCCAGATTCTGTCTACTTAAGGGGGACTACAGCAACAAAATGATAGGGGAACAGCGAGAGTTGCATGCCTGCAATTTTCGAAAGCTTGCGCAGGGGCTCACAGGCTTCGATGACTTGTGCTTGGCGGGACATCAGCAGAGGAGCAATCCGCCACAACATACTTCCTGGGATGCACAACAAGAGCAACAGAATAACACTACATGCTCCATAGTCTAAACTCCTAGTATCCCCCTTAATAACCAATATAGTAGTCCCCTCTATAACTCTCTACATAACCACCCTTTTAATGAATTTTCGTTATGGCTCACATGCTCCTGGACCACATCTTGAAGATCAGATCTTGCAACAGAGCTTGTGTCCCCCTGGTAACCCCCGCTCCAAAGAAAGACGGCATACTGTCCGCTACCACTCCTATGCCTCTCACTCCTACCACACCTACTCACTACTCCACTTCTCCTGCTACTCCTACTCTGACTACCACGACTGCCACTGTCACCACTGTCCCTACACTTTCAAGCACCTGCTGCTCATCTTTTTCAATAAGTTGGAGGGTTGGACTTGCTAGTTCTTAGTAGGCAATAGGGTAAGACAATGTAATCCCTGTATAGCATACTCCATTCTACCTACAATAACCCCAATATGTACCCTCTTATATCATATAGTAGTTTCCATTTTCCTTTTCCATGATCCCTATACAACCCCAACGTATTCCCTTACTCCTTGCTAAGAGCCAGCAAGTGGATCCATTTTTGGACCTCTATGTCGGCCCGTGCTCGAACGCCTCGCCTTGGGGCTACGCTGCGGGGTCTGCTGACTCCAATCTCAACACCACGCCTGGCCCCATCCTATGATGCCAGGGACTCATGATTTCATGATTTGCTTCACTCTTGCTTCAGTTTCCGGGGCATTTTGGAGTCCCCAATATTCCCCCATTATTGCCGAAATATTGCCCCAATATTACCCCAAGAGAACCCCAATATTACACCAAGAGAACCCCAATATTACCCCAGTGGAACCCCAATGTTACCCCAATAGAACCCTAATATCACCCCAATATGACCCCAATAGAGCCCCCAAATGCTTTTCCGAGGTGGTGGTGCTGGGTGCGGGCAGCGCCGGAGCTCACTTAGCCTACCGGCTCTCCGAGAACCCAAGCTGCCACGTCCTGCTTCTGGAGGCTGGGCGCCAGGCCCTTTGGCTGCTTCAGATTAGGATGATTAGGGTTTAGGGTTTAGGGTTTAGTTCCCATTCTCTTTTCCATTATCCCTATATAAGCCCAATATACTATAGTAGTTCCCATTCTCTTTTCCATTACCCTTATAAAAACCCTACATTACCCCTATCTAACCCTATCTGTTTCAGTAGTTTCCTGTTTTTCCATTATCCCTATACAAACCCAAAATATACCCTATCCTAAACCCTAAACCCTAAACCCTAATCCCTAAACCCTAATCCCTAAACCTTAAACCCTGTTATGCTACAGTAGTTCCCATTCCTTTGGCAACCTCGGCTCTAGGCTTCGTAGGGCTCTTGGGGGTGGGGTTTAGGGTTTAGGGTTTAGGGATTAGGGTTTAGGGTTTAGGGTGGGGAAGCCCAGGACAACTCTCCGTTTCTCCACGTGCCCGTGTTCTACTTCAAGGCCATCGGGAACCCTCGTTTCGACTGGAGGTGGTAGTTTCCAACAATAGGGGGACCCCAATATAGATCTCAAAATACTATAGGCCTTACCTTGGGGACCCCAAAGGGGTACCCCTAATTTTGCGAAACCCTAAACCCTATATATCCCTTTAGTACCTGTATAGAACCCCTATATCCCCCTTTAAAGGTACCTAAACCCTAAACTCTAAACTCTAAACCCTAAACCCTAAACCTAACTTTGGGAAACCCCCCAGGTACCGCACGGACGAGGCGACCACGGGCTTGAACGGCCGAAGCTTGGCCTGGCCTCGTGGCAAAGTCCTGGGGGGATCCTCAGCTTTAAGGAGTTGATTTTTAAGTTACAATAGGTTTAGGGTTTAGGGTTTAAGGTTTAAGGTTTAGGGTTTAGGGTTTAGGGTTTACGGTTGAGGGTTTAGGGTTTGGGGAAACCCTATGAACTACTATATATTTGAGTTCAGGGTATGTTATCCCCCTATAATGGAGAATCAAATGGAAAAGAACATGGAAAATGAAATGGACATGTGGGGAATATAAGTTTCAATATTGGGAAAACCCTATGAACTACTATGTATATATATATATATACACCCTACACCCTAAACCATAAACCCTAAACATGTATATATATATATGTATATACCCATTACAGTAACTTGATTTAAGTTCCTTGACAGGATCCTCGGCTTTGAACGGCTTGCTCTACATTCGCGGCCTCAAGCACGACTACGACAGCTGGGCTTCAGCAGGCAATCAGGGGTGGAGCTACTGGGTTGCTGTTAAGGAACTTAAATTTAAGTTACTGTATTGGGGAAACCCTATTGTTTACTATATATACCCATTATGGTAACTTAATTAAAGTTCCTTAACAGCAACCCAGGCTATGAGGAGTTGCTGCCCTACTTCCGCAGCTGCGAGGACGCACCCTTCGACCACCCAGATCGGGGCACTGAAGGGCCCATGAGCGTTGCAGGGTTGTCGTTCTGCATTTTTTGCAAGTTTTCCAAAAGAGTTAAGCAACTCAACGGCGACAATCCAGATTGTGAGAGCATCCTGCAACGATCTAGGTCTCTGATGGGAGCTATCACACCGACCTCTCCGAACGGCGCCGCGGCCCTATTTGTTGAAACGCTCCGGCACGGATGACTGTAAGAACTGGGCTGAGGTGGTCAGACGCATGTGCCGAGGCTTTCACGCAGTCTCTGCTACCTTCTGAGAGGGAGGGAAGGTTTGTGTGTGAGTCATCCCTTGCTACCCTTTTACCTTCCCACGTAAGCCACCATGTTGGGATTATTTTGGGATAATGGAGAAGAAAATGGAGACTAGTATATTGGGGTTATATACCATCTATTTATGGCTCATCCTCAGTGGCAGTCTATGATTTCTAAACCCTAAACCCTAAACCCTAAATCCTAAACCCTAAACCCTAAACCCTAAACCCTAAACCACAAGACCGCGTGGAGGTCTGCAGCGTCCCGCGGGTGCGGGACATGAGCCTTGTGGCTGGTGACGCCGACTCCTTGGGCGCGGGCGTGGCCTACTTCTCCAACTTCAAGTGGGGCTCCCAGGCTGAGAAACAGTAATGGGCACATCGAAGATACTATCATGCACGATAGTATATTATAGTATACTACTATATACTATAGTATACCAGAACATACTATACTATTCTATAATATACCATAATCTATTATAGGATTTTTTTTTTATGTACTATAATGTATTAGATGCCCCATGATTTTTGGGCCCTTCCTGCAGCCACTGCAGTATCCAGGACGCCAGGCGGCTTCCGCTGCTCCAGTGCTTTGCCTCTGCATGAGGTGCCACTAATCTGCTAGAGGCGGTGAGGGAGGTGGTCAAGAAAAAGTAGAATATGGCATATTATAATATACTATAGTATACTTTCATATACTATAGTTATAGTATATCATAGTATACTATATTATAGTGCATTATAGTATATTATAGTATATTATAGTATGTTATAGTATATTCTAGTACCTTGCGTCCCCGAAAGGATGCTGTCTTGTGTGTCTCGAGTCGCAGGTGCGGCACAAGCGGCCGAACCTCCACATCCTCTGCAACACCGAGGTGCACCTCCTAGACTCTCTAATGTTGTTGCAGGTAGAATATAGGGTTTAGGGTTTAGGAATTTTTTGGGTTTAGGGTTTAGGGTTTAGGGATTAGGGATTAGGGTTCAGGGTTTAGGGTTTAGGGTTATAGTCCCCCTTAAGTAGAATATGGGGTATGTTCTTGACCATATATCCCAGATTCTATCTACTTAAGGGGCACTAAATAGTTCTGTAGGTGGTCGAAGGACTGTTGTAGATGTTGTTTTACGTGTCAGTAGCACAGGTCTATTTGGCAGTTTCCCAAAATTCTGGGACCCTCATGTAGACCCCAATATATTGTAGTCCTTATTATAGGAACCCCTAGAAAGGGACCCTAAATCCTAAACCTTAAACCCTAAACCCTAAACCCTAATTTTTTGAATCCGTGAGGCCGAGCAGCTGCTGCTTGAGGGCCACCGTGTGGTCGCAGTTCGAGCTCGCCAGGGCGGATGTGATTTGAAGATCAATGCTGGGCAGGTGGAAGCGTTTGAAGATGCAGACTTCGTCAGTTTGGTGTTTTCAGTAAGGGTTGCAAAGCTTTTCATCCAGGGATTTCTGGAGAGAATTTGTCAGGATCCTACAGGGTCCCACGGCTTTTTTTTTTTCATGACCCTCCATCTTGAGTGACTCCCTGAATTTTTTTTGAAGTCTCCAGGTGGCCCTCTGTGCTGGAGCCTTGGGATCGCCACAGTTGCTGCTGAAGAGCGGCATTGGGGCGCCGGAGAGCCTGGCGAAAGCGCAGGTGCCACATAAGATGTATGGGCCTGTATGGGTCCCATTCTTGAGGGTTTTATTGGGGTTATGTAGGGATACTGGAAAATCCAATGGAAACTACTACAATATATTGGGGTTACCAAAATCAGGTTCCCATTGGTTTAGGGTGGGAATGAAGGAATGGATAAGAAAGTGGAAGCTACTATAGGGTTTGGGGTTTAGGGTTTCATTTTGGTACCCCCCAAAATAGTATGTCTTATAACCACAAGGGCCCATAGTTTTGAGAACAACCCAAAGGATCACCACCCCGAAGCCCCTTGATTATTCTTGATTAGATACAATTAATCTGTCCATGCGAGCCCTAAGACCCAAACCCCCAATTTGCGACTTAAACCCAAACACACTTACGTATAGTCCCCCTTAAGTAGATAGAATACGGCATTGGGTACATTAAAATAAGATTCCCACATACCCCATATTCTATCTACTGAAGGGGGACTATAACCCCAATATATACCCTATTATAATATAGTAGTTTCCATTTTCTTTTCCATTATCCCTATATAACCCCTATATTTACTTAGAGGGACCTAGCCAGGTGCCGTGCGTCCACTCCTTGCCTGGCGTGGGCGAGAACCTACAGGACTCCGATGAGCTGTGATGGTGAAACATATCAAGGGTCATCAGGATGAGATCTTGGTTTTTTAGGGTTTATAGGGTGCAGGGTTTAGGGTTCAGATTTTAGGGTTCAGATTCTAGGGTTCAGGGTTTGGGGTTAAGGGTTCAGGGTTTAGGGTTTAGGGGATCTAAGCATAGGGATCCTTCATGATTCCAACCCTCCAACTGATAGGCTTTGGGCTCTGCCAGGACCACCTGCAGCTGAGGCCGGGCGCAGTGGTCGTAGTAGTGAGGTGGTGTAAAATTTTGACTGGCGACCTGAAGCAGGTGGTTTAGGTCTCGGTAGAATGAGGTAGCACGAGGAGAGTTGCGATTGCAATTCTAGAAGCAACGGCGGAGTCAGGCACATGTTATAGTATATTATAGTATGTTATGGTATATTATGGTATATTATGGTATATTATCATATGTTATCATATATTATGGTATATCATGGTATGTTCAACAGCAGCCTTTGTTTTGTTGGGAGGCCCAAGTTCCGCGTGCGAGCGCCCACGCTGAACTCCCAGGCAGGAGTTGTTGATTGGATCTTCGTTTTGCAGATTTTTCCGTAACAACGCATGGTCGGTGCAGTTCACGGCAGTTCTAGCACATGGAAAATGAAATGGAAACCCTAGTTCCCCTTGAAGGGGTTTATAGGGATATTACCTTAGGTCCCTTCAAAGGGGTACATAAAAATATTCCCCTAGGTCCCTTTAAAGGGGTACATAGGGATATTTGGCCAACTCGCAGGTTGGCGCCCTGGCCCGGAACGCTGCCGAGGGCGGCCTCGGCTGGCTGAAGGCAGATTCATCGTCACATTCCTGGTCCGGGTAGAGACAAGAGTATGGCATATGGACAAAAACGATATATTATAGTAGTATATTATAGTATAGTATATTATAGTATTTTGGCAGGACATTATAGTATTTTGTAGTACATTATAGTATACTATAGTATAACAAAGTATATGATAGGAAATACAGTATATTCTAGTCTATATGGCTCATGGACAGAGGTAGCAGCGCTGAAGCTGGCAAGGCAAGTTTGAGCCCTGCCGCGTGGCGCTACGGCTTCGAGTTCCTGGGTTGCTGTTAAGGAACTTAAATTAAGTTACCATAAGGGGTATATATATAGGGTTATATAGGGATAATGGAAAAGAAAATGGAAGCTACTATTTAGGGTTTAGGGTTTAGGGAATTAAGTTACCATAATTGGTATACATAGTAAATAGGGACCCTAAACCCTAAACCCTAATCCCAAAAGGTCCGCCAAAAAGACACCTAATCCCAGAAAGTAGCCTAAGCCCTAAACCATAATCCCTAAACCCCAATCCTGAAACCCTAAACCCGTATAGTAGCTTCAATTGAGTTCCTTAAATCCCTACCCAGGTTCCTGGCGCACCGTACCGGGCCCGTGTCCATGGCCGCCTCCCAGGTCTGCGCCTTCGTGCCCTCCTCCAGGCGGGCCCCAAAGGAGCGGGTGGGGGGGGGGGATAAGAAAGGGTTACAAGTATGGGGGTATGAAATTATATACGGGTATTATGTTTAGGGGTATAATATGATATGGGGTTATAGAGGGGTATAATATATAGGGTTATAATATATCGGGGTATAGTATATAGGGTTATATAGGGATCATATAGGGTTATATAGGGATAATGGACAAGAACATGGAAACTACTATTTGGGGTTTAGGGTTTAGGGTTTGGGTTTAGGTGGTGGCTAGCCT